CAAATGGATCTGAAGGCGCGACCTTGCTGTTCATTGGGTCTGTCCTTGAATTATTGGAGGATATTTCGTGGATGAGGAGAATTGGTTGGGGCAGGAGATGGGGCGGATTTCATGATTGAATGGGCACCCTTGGGGGAAAAAAAATCCAATTCTCAACTCGATGAAATTAAAATTTTGCATTTCAAAGAAAAATATTTTCCACCCTGCTGCATCTGTCAGATCTGAAGAATCATAACGTAGTCTATCATTGCATGCATTAACAGTCCTGCCCCGATTGATGCCCATGGAGTCCCAGGACCAGCTCAGGTGCTTCCGAGTGGTGGCGAACCCACCCGCAGAGGTGAAGTGGTTCTTCAAGGACAAGCCCCTCGAGGAATCCGGACTCATCCGGACCACTCAGGATTGTCGCCCGTCTCTGCCCAGCCAGGAGAGGACGTGTGAGTTTCTCGAACGCTTGAATGTTGGGGGATGCTGTGGGGATGACGAGGATGCTTGAGAATCCTGCGTTTGTCTTAATTTAGATAATCGTGGACATTATCCTAGTGCTCATTAGTATTTCTCATTAGCTGTGTTATTGCTCTCGTCATAGCTATCAGCACTCCCCAGGACTAATTCAGGACTACGAGGACTGGCAGGACTAATTAATCTCTGCTCCTCGTTCGAGAAGGCTGCGTGAAGGTGGACCTGGCGACATACGCCCACAACGGAGAATACACGCTGGTGGCCGAGAACTCCCTGGGCCTTGCGAACGGTTCCATGATGGTCGACTTCATGCTGCACAAGCCGAGAGAGCTGACTGATGAGAGGGACCGTCTCAAGCCTCATCACTTACCGACTCTGTTTCCTCGGAAGAACAGCAGCAGCCATTTTTACGAGACGGAGCAGCGAGGCCGCGCCTCAGATCCTCCTGCGTTGGGGGCATTGTGGGTCAGTACTTTGCGTGTATGCGTGTATGAGTGGGTGCGTGTGTGCGTGAGTACTTGTGCGAATGCGCATGTGAATGGGCTGGTGGGTGAATTAATGCGGATGGCTGATGGATATACATACGTA